ATCCCACTTAAGGTTACAGGTTTCCAAAACAATTGCAAATCTGCACGTTTCAACACACGAACCCTACCCCTTACCTGTCCAGTGCCGCCTTCGCAACTTGCCGGCGGAAAGACTAATAACTAGTCATGGTCCATGGAGAAGTGTAATGCAGGAACAATTAACCTTCTTTCGACGAACAATACACAAATTCTCACTCGGTCGTCGTATGCTATCTCGTTTGCGGTCTGCCATCCTCAAGCCTCATGATCTACTCGCTCCTGAGTTCGAGCTTGTGTTTGATTAACTCTGTCAGTGTAGACAGTAGAGCAGCGTCTAATGTCAGCACAAGGTCTCTTGGAATATGATTTGTCGATCATCCGCCCTGCATCGTGATCGGTGTTTCTTTCGCTTTACTCTCCGCTGTTCTAGTCCATGGCTAGAAGGCAGCTTTCCCTGCAATCTGTGGGGGTGGAGGATGAACCGATCGCCAGTGTGATGTTCAAAACAAGCCAAGAGAGAACATGACAAGAGGTTGCATCTCTTGGCGATTCAAAAAAGCTTGATGCCCGTTACCGACTACCGAGAAACATCCCCGCAAATCGTCGGTGATAAGCAATCGTGCCGCTCTCTAATCGTCGATCACGTTCATGTCAGACGCGCGTATAGTCTCGTTCGAGAACACATCACCTAACTATGGCTCCGCCCGCAGATATCAAAAACCAAATGTCCAGCGAGTTTACGACAACCTTTCTTCATTCTCATTCTAGCGAGTTCAATTGCGGTTTCTTCGGCGCTTGTTTGGGAACATGGTGAGTTGCGAAGCCCAAGGGTGGCCTTGCGGAAAATGCAACTCGCGAGTCCGAGCTATACTCCTTTGATGCCAACCCTTTTTCGTTGTTCCTCGACACTTTTCATCAATGAGTAACAGGCAAGACAATGAACATTGTGAAGTCATCTTCACTTTGGAACTTCACAATTCTGAGTGCTTAGTGCGGTTTCGATGAATTCTCTGTTTAGGCTCATTTTATTTCCCCGTTCGTCTCTGCTAAACTACACATTATCCCATAAACATTCCGTCAGGGGTCGAAAAACCCATCTCAACTTCCACAACATGAGGCGGTACTAAAACACGACGGAAAGTTCTTCCGACCGAGCGCCCTCACGACGAACCAGTACAACCTTCGAAAAGGGTACAGGGGACTGACACAACACCATCAGTACCTACACTCTGTCCCGCTATGACAACCCGTCTGTGCGTCTCGAGATCGTTGCCGTCGCGATGAATTCAAATTGATTCACAGGAGGCACATAGGGAGCCACTGGTGGAAGAGGATGGGCATCCGGGATGACAATATTCACCAGAGCCTTTCTCCCGTCATACGGCGGCTTGAAGTATCTGCACGATGTCGATAATTTTGAACTCGTCAGCCAGACAAGCAGAGAAACAAAACTCTGAAATGACTTGCGAGTACGAAGGCAAGGTTTGGCCGGATACAAACTCACCGCGTGTCCCTGTAAAAGTGGTTGACGTAGAGTTCAAAGTTCGAGGCGGAACGAAACTTTGCCACCCTGAACTGGAAGGCGTCTGAACCGGCGCTCCAGCAGAGGACGCCGGTGCTGGGGTAGTTATTATCCGGGCCCTGGTTTGGAGTGATGCCGTCCCATTGCCAGGCCGTGCCGCAATGTGCTCCGCTGACTTCCACGACGTCTTCCGTGTTGAAATCGTAAACGTCGACTAGGTAGGGTAGGCGGCCGCCCCAGAAGTTAGTCTTGAAGGAGTGCGTGGCACCAGTCCAGGCCAAGCGTTGCGCCGGTACGGTTTTGATGATCAACCGGACTTGATTACTACTCACATCTGAGAGTGCAAGTGTATCGCTGGTCTCCGTCCTGTTTACGGCAGACGGACTCGAGGTTGCTGAGTGTGAAGTCTTTCCATGGATACCGGAACTTGGCAGCTTCCTGTGCCTCTAGTACTGGCAATGCTGACACGAAAGAGTGCAAAGACAACAGCGGAAACAATCTGAGGAATCTCATGATGAGCGTTCAAAGAGATTTCAAGAATAGATAACCTGGCTTGCTGAGAGATAGGTCAAGAGCTTTACAATATCGTTAACTCAAATAGATGCCACTCGACCTTTGGAACTAGACACAGGATCGATGCGAGTCCTTGGAAGAGCTTTATAGAATCTCGGGGAGACAGCATGTGACGGTTTCGCTGGTCTTCACGGTGGTAGCATGTCATATGCCCAGACCGCCCTTGACCAGGTTGCCATCAAAGACGGATCATGATGCAAGCAACCGACGGTATGCTCACGCGGCCCGGTGCGAGCATCCGCGGTTGTGCGTGGTCATACACCATGGCGACTGTGGATTATACGAGCTATCAACCGTGGCCAGATAAAGCTGGCAGTACGGCCAGGAATGACGAATGCGGAAGGTACAGATATGATGGGATGTGCCTGAACACGTCCGGATCGCTGCTCATCTTAGGCCTCAGTCATACAGTTGCTCAAGGCAAAACAGGTCTAGCAAGTAATAAGAGCTACCGACGTTCGACAGAAGTGACGTAGTCCACAAGAAGCCACTCGTGACAGCCCTTGCGATCAAAAATCAACCATGGCTTATAATGTCCAATTGCTAATGTGGTCATAGTAAGGCGGCAGAGGGGACAGAAAGAGGAACCCTGACCTTCAACACAAATGAGGACTACAAGAATCCCAATGACCACATTGTACCGCGCAGGAATTTGATGGCCTTGTCACTTGTCATGTACGCTCGGCCCGCACACACAATTGCCTTCCATTCAGCGGGAAATCTTCAATTTTATGTGCCAGGCTGAGCCGGTTCTGATCGTACATCCTCCATAGGATACCACGCGTCCTCGACTAAGGGACACTGACGTATCAAATCACATATAAGCAACGGCAGATCACAGATGATATTTCCTGGTGCTACCGGGAACGGCAAATTGCCTCTCTGCCTCTACTGTGAAACTTCGTCTGGACAGCGGAAGAGATGCCGCAGACAGCTGTTTGCTTGATACACGCTCTTTCCCTCGTCCCACCTCTGATAATTCACGGAACATCGGCACTCCAACAAGAAGCATATCCAGTCTTCTGGAAATGTAAGCTAGTAGCGTGATCAACTGCAGCCATCCAGCTGACGATGCAGCGCCCTTGAGCCGGAATGAGCGAGCTATGGAGCCGAATTTGGCCATCCATTCCTTTCCAGACAGATCTTGCAACTCCTGCTGCAGAGCAGTAAGCCAAAGCCTTGTCGTTCTGGTAGCCAACGCATCTTTGACGTGATACCGCTTATAGGCTTTTAGAGCTGTTATCGGGGGTCGCTTGATGATTCCCCTTCCAGTATGGGAGGCAGCGATCGAGCGGTAAGATTTTTGTTCAGACATCCAATAGATATACGAGGCTGGTTCTGGCAATTCTTGTGGTGTTTCCATTGTCGATCTCCGAGGTGAAGCCGTTGGAAGGCAGCGCAGCTGTTGCTAACTCGGCATTTGACTGGTTGTCCCACGGCTTGTAGTCGAAAGACAGGACAACACGTTTAATGGCATATGCTACTCTGATAGCCAAAGCTAAGGTTAACAGTCTCGCAGCACTCACACCGCTCTTCACACAGCTACGCTGACTATACGATTCACAATACAATCAAGCGATCACAGCGTTTTGTGCAGAGCATTCGTGTCACCGGTCCATGTAATTGCTCACGAAAAACAGCCTGGGTAACTAAGCTTCGTGTTGCCAGCCCACGATGTAACCAGGATTGATCTTGAAAACCCCAACAGGACCTATTGCCACGAGGACTGTAGGTCGGACGGTGGAATCTAGGCACAGACTAGTCTCTTTGACGGCTCCACCTGTGACAGGCAAACGACAGACGGCGTTGCTGGTGTTGAGTGTCTTGAAGCAACGACTTGGCAAAGGTTAAACAGACCTTTCACACAATAAGGCACGCATTTCGCCTTGGGTTCTACCGGTCTCTCAGTGAATTGAGGACTTGTTTTGGCAGCTGAGATGAGACGTAGACAGCATTACCAAGGCTTGCACATTCTTGACACAGTCGACGACTTCGTTATGGTCCGGCTTCTGGTAGACGGCTCAACGGAGATGGGTCATAACCGTCAGTGGAAAGACCTCCTCGAGACTTCGAATCTCGACACCATGACCTCAAACCATAGTCCACTACTTTAAACATCATATCCTGGAATATTAGAAAATGATTCTATCTTAATCATTATCCCACCCTAGCCAACGGCGGTGTATGAGTTCTTGGTTCGACAATTTTTCACGAGAACTCTGCTGGATTGTGTGGAAAGCCAGATCTGCAAATTGATCGTAATAACGTCTCATTACTTGGCAAAGGATAGCAGCGCAACCAGCGACCAGCCGTGTGTTATCTTGCCACGGGACACCTGAAAACAAACTGGGAAAGCTGTTCTCAAATAAATGAGCAGCCAAACGTCTCTCTTGAAAACAATAGGAAATAACTACCAATACATACCTTGAGACGGAAACAACGATACCTGATCATTTTTTGAGTGCGTCCGACTAGCAATTCTCTATGTAATCCTTCCAGAGTCACTAGTCCTGCCTCTATCGATCTGGGCCAAGAGCGACCATGAGTCGCGAACGTGCTTGTGATGGCAAAATTGTGAAGTCAAGAGGCAAGCTAAGTTAAATGAAACGACCTCGAGGGTTTCATTGTCATGTTAATATATACATATATATTCCGTCAATCTTCTGAGTTTGAGACTCCTGGCGTCTTCTTCTCTAAGTCAGTCATTGTCTCCTCATACTTACTGAAAGAGCCAATCCTAACGACAAAAGCTAGTGATTTGACCATCACTTGGATATCACGTTCTATGGTTTGAATATTAGTCGTCGTCATATCTAGCCCGAGGTGACAGGCCTGCGTTCTGATTGCAGTAATCCAGAACTGATGTTGTTGATAATTTTTCCTCAATTTGCCCCAGAGACTGGCCCTTCCCCACAGGCCCCCTCGAAATGATCAACTCTGTAGTGATGGTCTTCCCAGCCCACTACCAACCACGGTCCTCATCGAATCATCCGCATCATCAACCTCTGCCGAGCCACAAATATTATCAATACCCTGAGAGCCGTCCCACTGCAATGCCAGAAGATACAGCACGGAAGATTGATCACCTGAAACGACTCAAAGCAGACCGGTTACAAGGCTGTCATGTGATGGCCCGCATCGTCCATGTCTCAACATATAACCACACGTCCTGGACAGGGCCGAGTCTCGAACCGCGGCTGGCAGGCTTCGCTGACTTATAGTGTCTGCCGGGGCCGCTGAGTAAACCGCGGGCCGCGGACCACGGAGACCCAGACGGAACGGAACCGCAGGCGTGCCGAGGAGGACCCCTCGGTCCCAAGTACCAGAGTGATGTTCTGGGCTACAGACAATCATCATACATTCCTGGTATCGTTAGTGCGGAGTTAAATCCATCCCGGCCTCTCGCTGCATGATTCCCTAACTTTTGAGAGTACAGACTTTCTCATGCCATACTGGATCGCCTTACGTCGAGGGATCACGAGAAGTAGCTACCAACCATTTAAAAGCATCCATTAGACCAACCATGGTTGGTTTGCAAGCAAACAAGGCGTACGACCAATGTATCGTATTCCTCTGCTAGTGTTCGATTCTAGAACGTGGCTCTGCTGCAGAGAACCAATATTTCGGCCGAGATCCCGGATCTATTGGACTCAGCCATGATGATGATTACTTGCATACCTTCACATCAGCCTTGCATGATGCATATGACAAGAAGAAGAAGAAGAAGAAGAAGAAGAAGAAGAAGAAGAAGAAGAAGAAGAAGAAGAAGAAGAAGAAGAAGAAGAAGAAGAAGAAGAAGAAGAAGAAGAAGAAGAAGAAGAAGAAGAAGAAGAAGAAGGGCACCCTCGGTACTCTAAAGGATGCCCGCCGAAATGCAATCAGTTGTTGACGAAGAGTGTTTACGAGTACCACTGCTTTGCTTGTCACGACTCAAAGCTCTACACCGAGAAACATCCGGTATGGAGATCACTACGTCTCAATTCCATCCAAAAGCACTTTCTCCCAACCTGAAAGCCGGCATTTCCTGGACTTGCTGGCAGCCACGAATGCAGTAGACATGGCTAGATCTGCTGATTTCTTAGGGATCATCAACATGAAAGATCAGATGGCATTGCGGTGTCGTGTCATTGTGGATGGCGGCGAGATCTGCGGTCCCCAGCGGCCGGTGCTGAATATGGGTTGGTGAACCTGGTGGACCGTGGAGCCCCTCCTCCTCCCGCTTGCCCCCCTGTCGTTTGTCTTAGGTGAGGCGAGCTGGAAAGAGCCCGAGCCATCCCTGATTCGGATAGGTCCAGTTGCGGAGAGAGAGCTGAGAGATAGAGAGACAGAGAGAGAGTCGCCTTCCATCGCCAATGGAAGTCCGCTCTCTGAAGACTGCGAGTCCAGAATGGCACGAATAGTCAAATCGGATTCACCCTGTCCAGGGCTGGGACCCGCTTTCCATCCTCTCCCAGTACGACGGGGTCTATTAATAGACCCTAACCACAAACAAACTTTTTTGTAGAGGACCTTGAGGCAAAAGGGTCTCCCCTCTGCCCCCCTCCAAACCCCATTTTTGTACAAGACCCCTGCCGACATTGGATCGCTTGGCCGGCCGTCGGCATGCTTTTCCCAGCTATATGCGAGCCTCTGAACGACTGCCCAGGTTTGAATGGCAGAAAATCAAGCTCAGAGGGCGCTGCAGTCGGTTGAACGGGTGAAGAAGACGATGCGAACAAATGCTGCATTCTGTGACGGCATCGTCAAGCCCTCGTTTGGTTCCCATAGACCCGGAGATACAGGTCTTTGGACAGTTGCTCCAGAGATACAAAGTAGCTTTGTGGACTCACTCTACCTCGTCCATTCGTACAGCAAAATGTCATTTCTCGCGATTCAATTCAAATGACGCAGCATGACTCACCCCCTGGTAGCTTCACCCCCTGGTAGCTTCACTGCAAAAGCACACGTGTTTGTAATTTGCCATGAGCTGTGCTACGTAGACGGCATCGGTACTTCATTCAACATGAAGAACCTTACTGAGCTTACTCCGTACTGTTGGCCCTGTTTTCTCTGTCCCCAGTAGGTTGATTGGTAGGTAGCTTCATCTTGCTCTGGAGACGACTCCACCTAAGCTGTCTAGCTAGGCTCGAGGTCTAATGATTTGCCAGAGCTCATTTGCTCGGTTGTAAAGATAGCATCTAGCTATGAGGTTAGTCCTGTTAGTCGCTGCAAAGAAGTAGGATATCGTGGCAACCGCGTTTCCTGTTTATACCCTGAAAATAGCTCTGCGTGTCTAGAGGAAACATCCCATCGCCGATGATGCATAAAACGAACCGGAGACTAGAACAGCTGATAAGCATCTTGAGACGATTGAAAGGCTGGAGCTTAGTTTCTTGCAAACACGGCGTAAGGAATGCCAAGCCGGACGTAGCGTTATAGGTGGAATGGCTTGTTCATGCTGCAGATATCCGTATGCTTGTTGATATGTTAATGATACCACCTCTGCGAATATGGAGCTAAAGCCTCATGGTGACGCTGTCCCATATTGGAGCGAGACAAAGCATCGTGAGGTGGGGGAGGAGACACGGGCAGCAAGCCTTCGCCGAGAATAAGGTGAGAGAGCTCCCCACTGCTCATTTGCAGTTAAAGTGAAGGAGGAGGACACACGAAGAGAAACCATCTTGGCACGCCGCACCAGGAAAGTTATGCCCACGAACAAGGTTCCGTTAGGGCTGAGCTGTCCGAGCTGCGCCTGTTCGGCGGGGATAAGGTAAGTGGTACTTACATAGCCTCTGGGGAGAGTAATTCCAGATGCCCATCTCAAACTGTGTCGGTTGCTGTGAAATGTCATCATTTCCCAGATTTCCAAAAATTGCATGCCCAAGCATGTCGAATCTGTCCTCAATATCAAGATATCGACGAGGGTTTGCATTATCTCCTGACTTGTTTTGAGACGAAGAACGGCCGCAAGAGGCGTGCGCTTTTCTGCACGCTCCCAGGGTAGACGTGAGTGAGTGCTCAATGCTGTCGGGAAAGTCGTAGCCCAATGCTTGGGTGCAAAGCCTGGGATCTGGCAACCCTCTTTGCCCCTTCCCCTCTGGGCTGTACCGCTCAGCTTGGGCAACATACGGATTATGGGTGGTCCGCTTTCCCCGTCTACGCATGCTGTTCGGGGCTGGGTGTCAGCCGCAGGGCCGCACGTTGTTGCGTAGTCGGTGATTTTTGACAACGGGGATGCAGGCCAAGGGCCGGCTAGTCTGGGCTGGGTTTGGCCTGCTCGGTGCAGGGTGGCAGCAGCTCTCCCGCACTACCGAGTGGCCAAGAAGGTGACTGAAGGCGAACGAGGGTCTTGCTGAACAACGAAGGGTGGTCGTTGCTGACGGAAGGTGAATGAGCTCGTGGTTGTAATTCGGACGAAGGCTTGTGTGAATCCGATGCCCGACGATCTTTGAGCCTATTACGTCCAGACTTGAGCCAAATTTTCGGAAGATCTGATGTTGAAAATGCCTGAGCCCGTGCCGATACCCTAATAACTATCAGATACATCGCTGGTGCTGACAGATGGCAAGCATTTGCTAGCCTTGAGCTTGCCTTGCTTGCCGCGAGCTCCGGACACAAACATTGCATGTAAGTAAGCTCAGAGTCGGAGTGAGGAAGATGTCGGATCTGGTGTCATTTCCTTGGCGGTTTATCTCTCTCAAGGCTTCCTCTGAATGGCCAATTACCCATCCGATAATTCATTTCGCGAAGCAACGTCTCGTGTCCGTAGCTCGTTCTCAGTGGGAAGAAGAAGGTCAACCGGCGAAAAGGTAATTGATCAGCCCTATCCTGGCGTGGGATCCCACCACGACACCATTCACCTCCTCTCCTCCGTTCTGATTACGCCCCCCTCTTCCACATTCCGCCCAATTTCCATCGGGTTGAATCGAATTTACCGTTGACATCCACAACTGACCATTGAGCAACCCGGAACTCTCGCCCGTCATTATCAATTCGTTGTCCAACCGCTCATCGTTTGTCTCTGCCACCCAAGCGCTTGGCTTTCGAGGCTTTATCTTTGGGTTGCCGATGACAAGACCTCGAACGGCGACCCCTGAGGACGCGGATCGAAACCAGCCTGTGTTTCACCAAACGACCCCAGATCCCTCCCCCGCAGCAGCTGTAGCGTGTCGCTCATCGTCCCCCACGAGTATCGAGCCTTAACCGCTGTTCGTCTGAAGAGAGGTGACCCCAGCCAGTAATAGAGGCAGCCAGAGGAGAAACTCGACAGAAAGACTCGAGGGAGGAGACTGCGCGTCCCTCAACCCTCTTTCGCAGCTATTCGTCTCTGGCCTGCGATTGCTGGTCGAGAACGGGATAGCGTTGCACGCCAGGACTGGCCGGACATACAGACAGCGTCTGACAGCCTCTATCAAAGCAGCCATCGGCAGCACCCTAGCATCAAGCCATAAGCGAATCCAGCTCTCCAGCTTGCGAGGAGTATCCGTACGGCGACCTGGGTTGACTTGTGCACAGCCCCAAGGAAGCCCCTCCAAGGAACCCAGACCTAGACCCAGTCGCCCAGCGCGGCATCCGCTTCTGCAGGTTGGGTAGCCAACCCGAACCAATCCATCTGTTCTTCTGCCTGTTGCTCTGGTGGTGGTGCTTCCTTTGGCGGGCACCTGCACACGTAGGTTAGATTGAACTTGGATGAGAAGTGGACAGACAGGGTCTCGCAGACGCAGAACCGCAGGCGCAGGCGCAGGCGCGCAAAAAATAGGAACAGGGACCAGCAGGACGGGCTGATCAATCTCTCGTCTTGCCATCCTCTTGCTTCCCTTTCTTGCTTGCCGCTGGTTGCTAGCTGTCATTGCTTCTGCCACTGCATCTCGACCTTGCACATCGACGGACAGACAAGATTCGAGCCGACATTTGACTGAGCCAAGCTGAGCTGAAGCGAAGCCTGTCCCGCTACGTTGCTGCGTACCCCCGGAAGCAAGCAAGCAAAGCTGCGCGTTCGGTCCACCATCCGGTCTTGTGTATCTGTCTGTCTCTGCTTTCTCTCATTTTCAGTCTGTTCAGTCAGTCAACCCAAGGGCTGTGCCGTTTGGCATACCTAGGACGATCGATCTGCTTGCTACTCTCTTTACCCGCAGTGTTCTAGTGGAGGGCAAGCGTCCCAAACAAGCAACAAGGGAACAAGAAAAAAGGCCAATAAACAAAAAAAAAGAAGCCAGGTTGGACTGCGGCGGCTGCGCACCACGACATCACAGTGTTATAATGCCGGCCTTCGGTCGCATTGGAAGGCACCACAACCGCTCGCAGCAAGCACTTGTTGATCCGGGCGGAGAGGTTGCTGCTGGATCTGGCTCAGGCTCAGGTTCAGGTTTAGGAGGTTCAGTGGCATCGCATCCCACGCCTGGTCCTTCCGGCCCTGCTGGTGCCGCCGGTGCTCCTTCCTCCTCATCTCACTCTCACTCCTCCTCCCTCGCTCCTGCCTTGAGTGCAGGCTCTGGCACAACCACAGCCAACAACGCCGCCGGCGCTAATAGTCTCAATCAAATTACCCCCCATTCAGCCTCGTCGACCGCCTTCAGCTCCAGCGAATCCTTTGACATCCACCCAAACCAGCTGGCAGCTCATCAACAACATCAGCTCCAACAACAACAGCAGCAGCAACAACTCCTTCAACAACAACACCAGCAAGGGCAGCAAGGGCCATCTCCACTGCAACAGCCCCACGATTACCATCCTCCTGCCTCAACCTCGCGCAACTCCCTCCTGTTGCAGCACCACAATCCACCCATAGCTGATTTGCGCCAGAGGAGTCAGCAGGATTACACCGACTCCGTCTCCCGCTCCCAGTCACAGCGCTACCCGCCCGGCGTGGCCCCCTACTCCAATAACGCCAAAACCGGTGCTGCATCTAGCTCCGTCGACAACCTCAGAACTTCCGTCAACAGCACCTCATCTGCTCCCGCCTCCGCTCAAACTCAAGCAACCTCACCTCTTCCGCAACAGCAACCCGCCCCCGTCCCCGAAAAGCGATCTGCACGAAAGCTGCTCAGGAACATTTTGGGCGGATCGGGCCGCGATCATCACAACACCCCGCCCCCCCAACCTACCCCGCCAAGTTCCTACGATAACACCGGTGGTCTTGCTCGCCGACCGTCCAAAAGAGTGAGCAACCCACCACCCGCAAGAATTACTTTGTCCCAGCAGCCGTCT